TTGTAATCCATGTTTTTCAAATATCATGTGCCTTATAGGATCTAGTGATAATTTGCAAAGAAACATTCCACTAAAAGATATCATTAAAACATTTCTACATCTTTAAAGAACACGTCTCTGAGGGAACCCAAGTTTACAAATACTTTGTGTCACTCACAAATGGAGATAGAAAATATTTGTTTTATGAAACTAAATGAATCTTACTTACTTGTATTGATCAGAAATTGATTGGACACACCAGGGTGATCTACATCGTGTATTGCACTGGCAAAAATTGCTGCAAGGATCTCCAGGTCTGTAAACACAGCCTGGAAAAATTAAGAATTCATTACTGTCCTATGGTGACGTGAGCGGAAAATACACAAACACTTGAGAAATAACTTTTTCGAACTCAGACAAAATGAGTCCTTCCAATATATCAAGGTGTATTAAAGTCTTACACACTGATACACTTACCAACCTTTAGGTACAACCTTGGAATAAAACTTTTATCTATGATGGTATAATCAAAACATCTTCACTTTCTCTTTTTTAATGTATTTGGTTGTTGCAGGGTCTCACTGCACAGCTTGGACTCATAGTGATCCTCCTGCTGTCAGCCTCCCCAGCGCTGGGATTATAGGCATGGGCCACCATGCCCAGGATTCTGGCCAGCTTAGCCTGCCCTGGGGGTGGGGCTGGAGCGGCATGTGGTGGTGGGGATGGAACCACGGTGGTCCTTGTGCTTGCCTAAGCAGGCACTTTAGTATGCTGAGCTATCCTGACAGCTGCATTTTTTCTTTTCTTTTTCTTTTTCTTTTCTTTCTTTCTTTTTTTTTTTTTTTTTTTTTTTTTTTTTTTTTTTTTTTTTTTTTTTTGCAGTACCGGGGATTGAATTCAGGACCCTGCGCTTGCCAGGCAAGTGCTTACTCTACTGAACTATCTCCCCAGCCCTTGCATTTTTTTTTTCTTTTTAAAACACAAGAAGTCCCTGAAAGTATTTTTAGAAGAAAATATTTTATGTATTTAATAATATTCTGAAGATACACCTAAAATTAGAAAACAAAGAATAATGTTTCTCTGTCTCTAAATCAGAGATTCTCGGCCTTGGCAATAGGGACATTTTGGGGCCAGGTGACAGTAGCTAGCAGACTGTGCTGCACATTTTAGGGCTGCTAGCACAGCTCCGGGCTTCTACCCACAACATGCCAGCAGCATTTGCAGCCTGAAGCATGAGAGCTGTGACAGCCAGAAATGTCTCCAGTCATTGCTAACAGTCTCTACTCATCAGTGGAAGAACAAAAAAGGGCAGGGGGGCGACAAGTCGAGTTCAGCGGAGAACCACTGACTCAAGTGAGATTTTAACACAATTTTATAATAGTTTAGAAAACAAATCCGAGCTATATAAAAGAAATCTAATCCCTCAGATGATTAAGGAAATCAAATCGCTTTAGTAAACACTTCATGGAACCTATAATTTTGGAAAAGTTAAAGTATTTTCTTCTCTTATGGCTGTGTCTAGAGGTCTCCTAAAGCCTCATGCAGTCGTGGGTCTGTGTCAGAGGTGACCGACTCTGGAGAGTGTGGTGCTGGCCCTGAAGGTGGGTGCCTAGTGCAACACTCCACTGAAGGTTGGGCCACGTCCTGGCTGGGATTAGGGGTGCTAGCAGGGGAGCCCAGCCTGCACGCTGGTGTAAGACAAAGAAAGCGTCTGAGCTCCTATCTTCCTGCTTTCACTGCTTTCTGCCGTCATGATCTGTTGTCCCTGTGCTGTGTACCGCCCTGCTTGGAGCCAGCTGAGTGTGGGCTGTGACTCTTCACACTGAGCTACACAACCTCTCCTCCGCCAGCTTTGGGCGTTTTGCAACAGCGATGAGAAAACTAGCGAAGGCACCTTCTAATGAACTTTATGGGAAATACTCATGTTGTGCATATACTTCATATAGTCAGGTTAATAAGCAGATGCTTTGAGCTAAAAATACAAAAGTCACCAGATTCTTATTTCAAGAGAATAAACTGATCAATCGTCTAAAAGCCAGATGTTGGGCCGAGCATGGTGATGCACCCCTGTAATCCCAGCACTCTGGAGGCTGAAGTAGGAGGATTGTTTGCAGGTCGAGTCCAGCCTGGGCTACAAAGTGAGCTCAAGGCCAGCCTGAGCTGCATGCGAGACCTTGTCTCAAAAAGACAAAAAACAGGGGCCGGTGAGCTAGCTCAGTGGTCTAAAGCGCCTACTTAAGCAAGCTTAGGCAAAAGCGCAGGGACCCCGGTTCGATCCCTGGCACCACACGCCACACTAGCCCCGCCCCCAGGGTGGGCTGAGCTGGCCACACATACAAAAAAGACAAAAAGTAAAATAATAATAATAATAATAATAATAATAATAATAATAATAGCTGAATGTGCTCTATGAAACATCCATTAGATCATTTCAAAGAAGCAATATTATAAATAGATAAATCCTTACATATCTGGCCAACCTTCCCAGGCAAAATTCATCTCTCAACTGTTTGTTAACCTCAACATTTTTCTCTGTTAATCAATACACTTCCCGTGAAGCCCGCTGCTCTTTGCATCACACATCCTTCTGTTTGTAAAAGTTTAAGAGACCTTTAAAAGTGAACAAGTGACCCTAAAGTTCCAGAAGAGACTCACCTCCAAAGCAGGTGTGGACAACAGGACGTGCGTAGACTGGACGACGTCAGCGGCATGGATGTTGTTGTGATAGGCCACGTCAGCGTGGTAATGGTCTTCCAGAGTCATGAGATATGTAATTAAAGTGTCTACTGGAATCTTAAAGGTTTTTAATAAATCCCGCTCCTGCAGGAAAAGCAATCCTGTTAACATGTTTGTTGTTATAAAAACAAACGAAGAGGTTCTATAGAGCAGGTGAAACAAACAAACAAATCCACACAGCAGCATCCTCTACATATAATCGAGAAACAGAAAGAG